GGCTGGCACAATCTGCCTATGGTGTATAGCCGGAAGCAGTGACACGTAAGCGCGTCATTGACCTCACCTTTGAAGTTTGATTGATTGCAGGTGTCCGAGAACTATGACGCGCTGCTCCATGGAAGGCGTTATCTCGTAGGCCTGGATCAACACTTTACATCATTACCAAAATGTTCAAATGTGAATCGCTACAATGAGTTCACATTCATTTTGGTGGTTATATACTGGTGACCTCGGCAAATTCTGATCACAGATCAACTTTTAAGAGTTTGTCAGTAAACGGTATCTGAATAAGTGAACGAAAGTTCGCCCAGAAGCTCGCAATCGGTTCTGCGGGTCTAGCCGCCCATCGTTATGCACTTTGGGCAAGTTGTTTGTTGATTTCATTGATTTCATGAAATTAACTGGCGCAACTAAAATTATATATATATATATATATATCNAAAATTATATATATATATATATATATCAGCGGCTTGCAGACGCACGGTATCAATTCAGCAACAAGACTATAGGTGAGGGATACAAAAGAGAACGATATGAGAAATAAATAGTTAAATAAAACAAAAGGAACAAGAACCTCGATGTTTTTTGTTTCGGTTGCCTTTTTATTCGCATGGGATTTCAAGAGACTGCCCGTACATCGATAGCGCCACTGACGGCTGTTCTCAACCGTATCTCTCAGCGTCTTTAACCAACGACAATCCTAATCCCTTACACCCCAACCTGAAAGGGGAGCTGTATCGACCGAAGATACCTTCTTCATGCCTCTACCACAGGTCATGGTTTGACCGCCTAGTCGTTTCTTCCCGTTTTACTCAGCACAAGTAAATGAGCATAGAAAGGTAGAGAATGGTCAGGCACACGCAAAATGTGATCGAGTCATCAGATTCGGTGTGGAAAGTGACTCTTCATAAAGAGTTTGTCTAGCGAATAACTAGTAGAAATGTAATCCGATATTTTTAGCCAAGGATATCCATTCGGTTGCGAATATTTTAATCCCAGACAAAGGAAAATGAGTTCATATCTGGTCTGACCATACTGCTCTCAATGGTGTGCTTTTTTTATTCACTGTTGTCTCAATGTGACACATGGTCGGTGAATGCCATACATAACTCTGATAGGGACATGCATCAATTGCACCATCAAGTGGCAAGTCTATCTAATTTAGATGGATTTATGTATGCACTTTCCATTGTTTCTGTCTTACGATTAGTTTTGTTTTAAGGGAGACAGAATTCAGTGTATTCATTTCATGCAGATATCTTTGCGAATGACCAAATTGAAATAAAGGACCTCTGCTTCAGGGTGATGTTTATTATAGTCGTACAAGTGCTGAAGTACATCGTTAAATTACATTAACAGTTTTTTCATGGCGCACTAGGATTTCGCAATGAATTTATGCTTTCGACTAGTCAGAAAACACATCTCAGGCATGTCAAACACCCAGTGTAACCCAACGAACATTCCGCATATTCCCAACCAGGTGCTGTTATCCTATTGTTCGAGTTCATCCAGATGTGTTGAATATGGGTCGTTGTTTTCTGCGACACGCCTATGAAAGACGGTTAAATTTGAGCAACGAGTCTGGCCAACCCGCTCGCTATAAATTGCTTGGATGGTCTACTGTTGAGAATCCCGATGAATCGGTCACCGGTGTGGAATACTTCAGCCACGCACCGGAGGTATGTGTTGGTTTTGCTTATACCGTCACTGTCCAGTTTTCTTTCAGAAAAACACTGAATTTTTAATAGCATACTCTGCATGTGATTGCTATGCTTTCAGCTTGTTTGGAATTCGGTGTCAACCACAGATAAAAAATGTTGAGAGATGCATAAGTACCGAACAGCATTCAGTCTTAAATTAAATTAGTCACATTGATTTTCCAGTGTCGACGGCCATCATATCAAGTAGAATATTTGACGCCGTTCGAGAAGCTACTGAGATTTTGCCTATAACCAAATTTGTTTGTTGACGGAAGAAGTCAAAATCAAATGGTGTAAGCGCTTCGATCTGATAACGTTGTGGTTTCGAGTCAGCAACTCAATGCACCCCGGTTTATGGCACATTTTGAATGCTTGCAAATTGAAGGCTGAACGATCCACTGCCGTGATTTATGTATAGTTTATGGATGCTGAGGGGCTTCATCAACAAGGATAGAGATTTGTTTATCGACTAAATCGCCTTAAACAGTGACTTGTATGTTATATAGCAGGATAGTAGTGGAAATATCCCTTGATACTGATATATTTCCGATTTGTTCCTGCGTGATTTTCTCCAAATTTGCGCTGTTTTATTTGCATCGCATGATGTGAACACACTTCTTGTCGGGGGAGGGGGGGAGGAAGCTCTCCTTCGAGGAACTGGTTGTTTCGATAGAAGATTGAGTCGCCAGCACGCCAGCGTGCCACTTGTGGTCCTCACTGCTCCATTTACTTTTTCGGAACTTTTAATTTGAACACGTAGTGATTCTGCCCTTCCAGGTTTTGCTTTATCTACAATGCTTCTGTCAGCCACCTGGTCGATGCGTGAATAATAGCGTCTGAATGAAGTAAAAGCGGAGAATATCAGCAATATGGCGATAAGGAATAACAGGAACGAAGACGAGTACAGAAAATGGGTAGAACATTGACATTATAGTTATCAATACAACTAAATTCTATGCAGCTTTCATTCAGGTTTATTAGGTCAGTTTTCGGTCTAATAATTGCGATCTGACATCACACAGACCAGTTGACTTGCATTTCTTGGTCGTTTCTGCTGGAATCAATCGAAATGGTTTGTATCTGGTTCTGACCCGGGCGGACCACTCAATGGCACAAATTAGGATAAAACTGTCTTTTTTTATCGAGCTCAGTTATACATCAGTAATCTGTTTCGACTTCTATCCATTCCGCTTGAGAGTGATATATGGCAGGCTTGAGACCAAAGTACATGTGGATTTCTCATTATTTGGAAGACAGAACGGGAACGTTATGAGAATCATTGGACTATATACTGATAGTTTGGTGTGCTGGTCAATGCATAGATGAAATCAAATTTGAGTTTTACATCAAAATAACGAAGAACTTGTATTATTAATAACCATTACTATACTTGTACTTGGGTGAGTTACAAAGTGCTCCTATATCGTGCAATATGGGTCCTTGGTTGGGTGGTAAGGTAAATAGGTAAGGAGGGGTGTTTACCGCCAGATTTAAACAGAAACCGAAGCAAAATATGCACTCTATAATTAACGGTGTGTGAAATCACCCGGAGATCAACGGAAACCGGCAGATCCAATAACCAAACCATATTTGCATTCAACTCACAGTTACCTGTGAGTAATGTGGTGTGGCATAAGTTATATCGATGTGGAGATAACAGACAGTCAACTGTCTCTTTTTGTTGCTGTCGTGCCCAAGTGACTGAAGGATTATCATGGAAGACGACATCTGAACCAACATGAGTTGGCAATTCCGGTCAGTGGTGACACACGCCTTTGCAAAACGGGTGCGGAATTCAAAGCCCGACTGGGTCATGGACATGCACTACAGATGGGCCCTGAGGAGAGCGAAAGCTCAGTCTGGTGCTTCGCGAGTGTCTGGTAGACCATAGATGAACTGAAGATTCTGCGTGAAGACGAGGTTTAAAGGATGATCAGTCCTCATAAATTTAAATCATACTAGAATACGCTAGTTACTGCTCTTCAAAATTACTGAATGAGAGTTCTTCTTTACATTTAGATAATTATGATATTGAATGCTTGAATCAGTTGGCTGCTGACTAACCCGTTTCGATGTGCATGTTGTGCCGGAAATCAGAGGATATCAATGAAGCGATAGTAGATGAAAAATTATTTTCCACTGGCATTTCATTAATCTGATTTTATTTTACCATTAGTGAAACCTTCAGGCTTATAATAATTTTATTCAGGGTACGATTCCTCCACACGACACTACTGAACTGAAAATTTTCGTGAAATCACTCAGTTTGGGTCAACTGAAAACGCTGGTGAAGATTGTTATATGCGACCTGGAAGACAAAGNAAGACAAAGCGTTAGTAAGTTCATTTTATTCAGTTTGTTTAAAGTTTGTTTAAGTTTGCGAAAGATTGTCCCATAGTAAAATGTTGTTGGCTAATCAGGGGCTGCTCTTTCGCATTTTGCATTGTGTTCACTTTTAAAACCAACTGTTTGATGTAAAATTGGAAGAAATTAAAAAATGCTGCCCAGATACGCGTGGATCCTAACATTTTCATGAATTGGTTTTATGTGACATGTCTTTGGTTGAGTTGCTCCATACCTTATCGCCTATTGATTCATGACGCATATGTGGTTTTGAACTCACTCTCAGTTGGGCTAAATAACTTTCAACGATTTGTCATTTACAATCAATAGCATATGTTTTCAACCTCAAGTAAAGTGTTTAATTTCAAGTCAATCTACTAATCGCATTTTACAGGGAAATCTACAAGGGGATTGGTGCTCCGGTCGTCACAAGTCACCAATCGGACCGGGATCATCACAACGGTCATCCAGTTGGAATAAACTGATTTCTGCACACACATCAAAACAGAAGTACTTTTTCTGTGTTACTAAGTGATGCTGAGGAGTTCGTTGGGTTGGAGTCTGACTTTTCACCCCCATTCTAATGAAAATAAATTAAGTTGAACACAACGATTCGTGATCCAGTGATATCATCAATTAGCTGGATCTGAATAGTTGAGTGTCGTTAGACGCAACTACAATTCCGGCATAGACCGGGAAGTAGGCCCAGTGGTACTGAGGATGTCACTTTGTATCATATTTCCAAGATTCCTTAGGAATCCTTCCACGAAGAAAGTCGTTGATTAGGGAAAAAAGCTCTTAGTGGTCCAAAAGATGCGGTACAAGTCGAAGGAACTTCAAGGGTGATTGAGGACCCAGGTCTAACCCACTCATACCGTGATTCAAGTGAACACTCACACCTAAGCACGGTGACTTACGAGGTGATTCACCAAGCGGGAAACGCTGCTGAATAGCTGCGGTTCATTTCCAGTTTTAGTCGAGAAAACTGTGTCAAATGGCGAAGCGTGATCACAACTCACGAGCCCATCCACACACCTGCTCCTGAGTCGTCAGTGTATCTGGCCCTTTTACTGTTCGTGAAAAACAGGTCACAACTGTCAGTCATTGCAAGATCGACTTAATGGATGATGATAAAACACATCTGGTCCGGATGATCGCGTCAGATCTGAGTTTTCGGGAAACATGCGAAGAATTCAACCGTCTTAATCCCGACAAAGCGAAAACTTTTAAACTATTTTTAAAAATGCACGGAGCGCTTTCTTCAAACCGGATTGGTTCGAAGTGAAACAAATAGGTTCCGGTGAAGCTGATGACTATGAAGGCGCTG